GTTTTGATGTTGAATTCACTTTTTTGACGACAATTTTGGGTGTACTGTTTTTTTTTAAGTTGTTGGTGCTTCTTAAAGGCAGGTGCGGCTTATAGTCTGAAAAATACGGTAATTATTGTATTTTACAAGTCATGTATAAAGCTCATAAAAAACATTACCTTCAAATATTCAATTAAAATTTGTTGAGAAAAAGTCATAAGAACCTTAAGGGAATGGAGATTTTTATAAAACCTCCATTTCAAACTATTCTAAAAGGGGCGATGTGCTGTAATTCAGGGAATAGATGGTTTTCAAATGATGTAGCGACCAGCAGATCACGTGATCAAATCGCCATATTCGTGGCTGCGAATGCAGAAGAGGAGATAGTCTACAGCACAGAAATGAATACAGTCTAGATTGTTTATGTAGTATGTTTCTGTTTTAAGTTGTTTTAACAGTCATGGAGCAAATTTGCATTCGAGTTGGTTACAAAACTGTGCTGCTCGTGTGGCAGAGAAACGCTCTTTAAAAAAAAGATGGCGTAAAAACACCAAGGAGAAGTAGAACTGTCGGCAAAGCGACGTGATTTTGTGGCTGGCGATAATCAACCACAAAGATTTCACCCTCCTTGGGATTCCAGAGTGTTCAAATCACTCCTGCCATGGTTAGTGACCACATAGTACGTTAATTAACTTTAAAAAAAGAAAGARTGCGCCCTATGAACAGAAGTGTTTTYAATATTATGCAATCTACCCTTGTAAACATGAACGTAGGATACACTGACAGTATCAGATTATAATCACAAAAAGCTCATTATGCAGTATGTACCCATTTGGAGTATGTAAGATATAGTTACTAATAATATCAGAGAAAGTCTCACAGAGTCATGTCAACACAYCKTGTGTGTRYGCTCTGCAGGCTTCAGCAGCTCGTAAGGATCGCTACTTTCAGTAAAGCTAAATACCTTGATTTAGATTTATTATTCAGTGGATCCATGTGTGTCCTGAAAGGCACGTTTTAAATACAAACTATTARTATCCTGGTCATGCTCATCGGCGTCATTCAGTGGCCTTTTTGTATTTTTTCTCCCTTGCTTTTGTGGTTCTCCCATACTGGTTTTATGGCTACAAGCTAAATACTTGCCCATGAACGGGGTGAAGAGGGTAAAAAAGTCCCGGATGATGACGTCAATGAAAACCATCTATAGGTTTGTTAATTTGTCTTGCTAGTATAAAAACCTCTAAAACAATTGTTTAAAAAGCTGATTAAGTCAAAATCATTGGGAAAATGATATTTGTAGTATTTAGTGGAAATAAGACAGAAAAGTAACTGATGTAGGTTGTTTTATTTTTTGTAAATATGGAGATTGTTCAAGCTTGAGTTTGTTTGTTGAAGTACTGTATAAAGACAAATATTTAGTTTTTATGAATGAAATAAAATAAAAATATACATAAAATAAATACATAAATAAATAAATATACTTTTTACACTGTAGAAAAAGGAGAAGGGGAATAGTTTGGAAATTATTTTTTGAAAGCACTTTCTTTTTCCATACTTTTATACTTTTCAAACTTGTAAGAACGTTTACATGAATTGTTGTAGATGGAAATCTTGCATTTTAAACTCAAGAACCGTGTCTCACCGTCAGGAAGCACACTGGGCTGCCAGTCTTTGAGGACTTTGTTCAGCTCGTCTCCAAACTGCTGGTAACACGGGTCGCTGAACAGGTCGTCCTTCCTGCCTTTGGCATGAAGATGCTTCAAAATAAAACACAAATCTCACATCAAGAAAAAGGACGAACTAGTGATGACTTGAGTTTGCTCACACAAAAAGATTCAGTGTCCTCATATTAAATATTAACATCACTGCATTTCAGGATGTGAACAGCAACAGATATAATCAAAGGACACAAATTATTATTTAGACACATTTTAAATAAAACAAGTTGCCAAAGCACCAATTTCCACAGGATATTTGTTTTGTAAAAGCAGCGAGAGCAATGAAATGTAATAATAATAATAATAAATAAAAACACTCATCCACACATTATGAGTAAAAACACAAAAACATACAATTTGTTTAAATCTTACGTTTGTCCTGGCAGAAGAATAAAAATCAGATGACTTTGGGAAAACGTGAGCTCCACTCTGCAGCCATGTGCTTAGCTGCTCACATGGGAAACAGACTGTGCAGCAGTAACATCTGTCCTACCAGAAACATCACCCTACACTTAGTTCCTACCAGTAAAAAGATCAGTTTATAAAGTCATCCTAATCCTTTTTATAATCACATAATTATTGATGTCTTTACAAAATTCAAATACACAAATATATTATTTTAGTGCAACTAAAAATATTTTTAGTCAATCTATTATTTTTTTAAACATAGCTAATTTCCAAGTAGATTGGAGCAAATAAACTAGGTGAACTGGGTACAGGCTGGTCAAAAACAGAGCAGATC